CTGGTAGTGAGCAAATCAGGAGGCCAGCAGTTTGCTCTCCCATTGAGCTGTCTCCCAGCGCCCTCTGAGCAAGGCCCTCTATCAAAACTTCCAGACAAGATGGTGGGCATCTAATCCACACCAGTTGCAAATGACTGGTAAAGGTTTAGCCTGCAACCTTTCTCAGAGGCTTGTGCAACTTATTGGACTATAAACCAAAGCAATGCAGCTCTCAGTGAAACTTGAGGAGTCAGACAGGAAGGCTTCTGGGAGCCCGAGAGGGGCAGGGGCTGCACAGCGGCCCCTCTGGTGGGGGCTGCAGGACAGCTATACTTGCATTCTTTCACCAGCTGCCACAGGCTTGGCCTTCACCTACCTCCTCTTCTTTTTCTGACCAAGGCAGGCCCTCCTCGGGGCTAGGGGAAGCATCTCCCGAATTTGCTGACTTTTCAGTCCTTCTCTCTGCACTTCTTATAGCACCTGTCCCAGGAGGCTTTGTCCAAAGAAGCCCTCAGGAAATGACAGTAGAATTAGAGTTTGTCTTGAGCGGCACAAACAAGTTGAGGGATGGGGAAGGCAATGGGGACCTCGAGGTGGAGCGCACACATGGCTGCTGGGCCTACGTTCAGGTTACTTATTTCATGCCCCAGCACCACTCACTGCGCCATGTCAGCAGGTCAGCCGTGATCCCCACCTCCTCCCTCAACTCTGCCAGTCTTCTCCTGCCCCTTCCACTGCCTCCCATGCCAGCCTTGGCAAGGCCTCTGAGAATGGAACACTGGCATCAATTCCAGTGTCTGCCCCAGACCAGCTGTGAGATGGTGGGTATAGTACTTACCCCTCTGAACTACGGTTTCCTCATCTGTACAACCAAGGAGCGGTTTCCTATGTCACCGGATTACGAATGAGTTCATGAATGAAACACACTTAGCATAATGATGTGACAGCACATAACAATGCCATATTCTAAGAGTAGGGACTGTGTCTTCTTTATCCCGGGGACAGGGATGGGCCAGGTCCTTTCTGGCACTGAGTGGGCTCTTGCTCTCTATTTGCCTTAAGACACTGTTGGGAGGAAATCCGAGCTCCTTCCTACCTTCGATGTTACAGTCAAGGAAACTGATGCCCAGAGAGAGGACGGAGTTTCTCAATAGGAAAGATGGACTTGAGCCGGGAGTTGCTGGGGATCCCTCCTAAAGCTCAGAGCTGTGGTTTTGGATTCGTGATGCCATGGAAAAATGAAGCCGGACTTTCAAAGCGCACGTCAAGTGTTACCTCCCGCGGAAGCCTCCCCTGGCCACCCACCCCAGATGGCCCTGGGCCAGGAGTCCCCGAGTGCCATGGGCTTCCATTTATCCCTAGGGCTACTCTGACGTGGCTGACATGCTCTAGAGACACCAACTAGAACTTTAAACTTACAAAGAATAGCCTGTGTTTTATTTTCTCACTATAGCAGATGTAGAAGTTGAATGAATAAATGAGCATATATCAAAGCAGATTTGTTCTTTTTTTAAATGTTTTTATTTAGAGAGAGAAAGGGGGGTGAGATGGAGAGAAACAACAATTGGCTGCCTCCTGCACACCCCCTACTGGGAATCCGACCTGCAACCCGGACATGTGCCCTGACTGGGGATTGAACTGGCGACCTCTCGGTGCATGGGCTGACGCTCAATCAACTGAGCCACACCGGCCAGAGCAAAGCAGATTTATTCTTTATCGATTTATAACACTTTTAACAAAGAGTCTCCCCACCTGTGCTTTCTTCCTACTGATTCTGTCTTTCTGCCACATTCAGATTTCTGATATCGAGAGCCGGATCTCAGCCCTGACCATCGCAGGACTCAACATAGCGCCGTGTGTGCACCTCACCAGGAAGCGGGAGCAGAAGCAGAGGAACCAGGTGCGTTTGTCCCCCACTCGTTCTGTGGAAAACGTGGAAGATAACGTTTTCGGGCTTTGAGAAGGTGTGTTGACTGCTGTGTTCTGTTTGTAGGTGCAAACAATAGACACATCAAGACAGCAGAGGAGGAAACTGCCTGCCCCACCAGTGAGAGGTGAGCTCGGTGAAAACCACAAAACAACCAACGGACTAAGCGTGACTCTCACTTTG